GCTCAACCGGCTTATAGAGAGACTTCCCGCGGTGGACGTGTTCTGCGACGGTATTTTCACATTCCGTAGCAGCGTCAGACATTTTTTGGCGGAAATGTGACGCTAATGGAAATGCCTCGCTGTATTCCATGTGCCTGCCTGGCAGGTTCATTCATTTAATTTACTAGCATTTTACTGGCATCTTGTCGCCATCCTTGTTGTCACTTATCGCACTCTATTGAGTATTCTTATTCTTATTTTTATTTATACCTTCTATCTTTTATATCTCTCTTTATTTTTTTATTTTTTTTTTTTACCGGCCGTTTATTTATTGGTCTTTTATTATATGTATACCTACCCGAGTGTGTCGTCTTTGTACCTATGCATGTAACTTATTCGTTTTAAAAGTGCGACTTCGTCTTTTAATGGGTCCTCCCGTCGGCGATATGAATAAATAAATAAATAAATAAGCATTATTATTAGGCTGTTTCCTTTTCTTTACAGGTGCATCAGAAATACACGAACACATATCCACTATCCCAGGTGCTTTCGGAGTATCTACCACAATAGCGGCGGAACACCTTCAATTAAGGGGGGGGGGCACTGCCGACTATTGGTCCCATTCTTTCCATACAACGCCCATAGGGCTAATGTTAAAATGCCGAAATCAAAGGGGGGGGAACGGTGCCCCGGTGCCCTCCCCGCTCCGCCGCCTATGATCTACCACTCACTTCTTCGCTCTACCAACGTTGTTCAAGTGGGAAAATGATCTAGCTTATATCTATTCTTTTACGTATAGGAATCTGTCAACTCGGTAACGGACCAGGGAGAAGAGGGAGACGGGTCGTAACTCGTAGCTGCCCCTTCCCTCCGCGAATTGCCAGCGAGGCTCTTACAAAACGTCCACCTGTGAAATACCGTAGTTTCGTGTAGGTAACTTTGGCTGCACTTTTTTGGTTACGCCTCAATAATTCAGCCGTGCAGTTCAATCTAAGTATGCAGTGTTGCAGCTGCTTATGTACAATGTTGCAGTGGCGGATCCATGGGGGGGGGGGCAAAATGGGCATTTGCCCCCCAAACGGCATGATTTTAACATTACGCCTATGGACGATGCATGGAAAGAATCGATAAATTGTTATGGTTAGCCCCCCCCCCCAAAAAAAAAACTCTGAGCTGGATCCGCCTCTGCAATGTTAATCCGCGCACGACTGGGGTATTTTCAATAACGCGAGTGACTGAGGGGAGCCCCCCCCCCTCCTATCTCCGAAACTACCCAGGCCGATCGTCAAAATTCAAACGGCGTCTGATATCCCTAGAAATACTGTCGAAATAAACCTATTTTCATTGACCTCGAGGTCACCGGTGACGTCACAGATCAGGTCAAAATAAAAATTATTATCATTCTTGCTTGTTCACAATTTAGGCTCTGACTGCCGGCTGACAAGTCCGAGCAGGCTTATTTTTGGTTTACGCACTCCATGATATATGCTTTAGATACCCTGAGGGCACCGAACTTATACTTCGAATTTTCAGGTGAAGGCCAGGTCATCCTTGGTCACGAAAATTTTATATCATGTTTCGGCACGTGACGCATGTTTTATGGTCCATTTTACTCGTAGATTTCGACAATATTTCGTCTGTGTACCTAACTTGAAGTCATTTTCAGCTGAATGTACCGGAGGTCAGGTCACTTTCAGGTCAGAAAAGGTCAAATTTTGAAATTATTTTTTTTTTCGCCAAAAATGTGCCTATTAGATGCCGTTTGAGCTCAGAAACACGATGACGCCATCTATATTGCTGTGCGATGACAAAAACGTACTAAAAATTGTTTTTGAAAAAAATTAAAATTTGACAATAATGCAAATAACTTGGCTATTTTTGAAGATATTGGGCTAAAACTTGCCAGAGTATTTCATCAGTGTGTGTTCTATCACAAATACCTATTCTGGTTTTTGCGAAAGATCAAAAACTTCTTGAATCAAAAAATATTTTTGTAATTGTAAATTTATGTTCTCCAAAATATTGCGAAAATTCGAGATAGCAGTTTAATAGCTACCTACGTCTATTTGCAGTCAACTGATGCAAAGAAATTTGATTTAGCTTAAAACTGAGCTATTGAGAGCGTTTGCCGTAATTCAATATTTTGCAATAAAAAATCGGCCGACATTACGTCACTCTCACGTCATTTCCGGCCAAACTGTGGTAGCTAGAAAGTTGAAATTCTTACACAAGGTGTCAAATTGATGTCCCTGAAGGTACTGCAGGTTTCGTGTTGCTCCGTCAAACGGTTTCAGATATTCCCGAAAAACGGGAGGAGGTGCTCTGTAGAGCCCCCCCCCGTCATGCGCGGGTTAACCCTCGCACGACCAGGCCATTTCTCATAACACGAACGACCAGGGGGGGGGTTGTTACGACCCCCCCCCTGGCGTTTCGAAACGGAAGGTCGTAGAGCTTAGCGGAAAAGACCAACGGATTGCTCTCAACGAGATCTCGCGATTGGTGGTATATTTTTTGGTCCTAGGTCAACATTTGACCTACTTTTGACCGGTCAAAGGTCAAATTTTCGGAAAAATAGACTTTTTTCAACTTTCGGCGGCGATTGCGGCAAAACGGTGGGAGATATCGACTTGAAACCTTCACCATCGTGTTCCTTGATCAATTCTCTATCGTTTGGTATGTATTTCGTTTCCCTAGCTCTAAAAATGGCGCGTTGGGAGCGCCGGAAGTCGGCAAGGTCACAGTCGGCGGCAGAAATTCGAAAAATCAAAATTAAAATTTTTGAAATCTGATTGTATTTTTGGATTTGGGAGGTCCATTTGCTCCCTGTAGAAACTAATATTGCTGCATATTCCCATTGAGGTGACAAGAATTAGCAAAATAGTGGTTCGGGCGCTTTTCAAAAATAGTACCGGACGCTGTTCCTCTTGTGACGTCATAGCTCCGTGACCTGACCTGACCCGGTCAAATTTCTTATACCATATGATAGCCAATACTTGCCCCAACATGCATGGGAAGTTTCATCACGATCCATCAACCGATGTCCGTACCACCGGCAGAAAACCTCGGGCGTTGGCACTCAGTTTGTGAAAATCCGGCCGGAGGCTGTACCTCTTATGACGTCATAACTCCGTGACCTGACATGACCCGATCAATTTTTTTTCGGCAAAAGATGCGCAAAGGTTGCCCCATAAGGTACCCAAAATTTGGCGGCGCTGCGCGCCGCCGTTTTTGCACTATTTCCGAAAAACCTCAGGGGGGGGGTTGATACAACCCCCCCCCTAGGCGTTCTAGGGTTAAGCAAGAAGGCCTAGATAGAAAGGTCCCTTGGCTTTCCATAAATGACAAATTTGTGTGTGCTGCAACATTGCACACACAACTTTTATCTGCCGCGGAAGATTGTTACACGTTGACCAATCATATTGCGTAGTTCAAACCAACTGCACGCTGATTGGCTGAGCTTAGCCTCTGCGATAGGTGGCTTCTTTCTTCGCATTCTTCTATAAGTCACCACATTCCTGCGTAAGTCCTTCATTTTGGAACTCATGGGCTGTACCAGTTCCGACACATTTATCTTGAAACATATGTAATCACAAGTGCCGCATGTGTGGCTTTTCACTGAGCTTTTCGTTTTGGACTGGTGTTATGTCTTTTGTCATCAAATATATCTTTCATAAGGGAGCCCGAATCTAAGCGTGAGTCAGTTTGTATGGTGGGAAGAGGCAGCGGAGGTAGTGCACATCACAAGACATCGCAAATGCATTCCTGTATAAAAATTTTACCTGCGGCTGCTTACGTCCCTGATTACCGATACCATTTACACTGTGCTATTTAATAGGGGAGAGTGGGGTAAGATGCCCAGGGTGGGAAAGACGCCCCACCCCCTCTAGCAGCGAAACAAATAATCTAACATGAAAATTAATGTTCTTAGCGTAAAGCGGAAGCCTGTCTTGTTAACTGCTCAAAAATTTGCGAAGCTCAGTTGAGCAGCGTTTGGCTTGTGATTGCATGTTTTTCATTTGCTGCTTTCAAAAAATATTTTGGTGTCAAAACATTGTAATTATCAAAGAAGGTAAATAATTTTTATCTCCCTTGCTATGGTCGTGATACAATAGCATGCGTGTACTGTGTCCCAACCAGTTTGTTTCAGGTTGTTGTTTTATGGCTAACAAATTGTAGTGATTAAATGTTAATTCGGTACCTTGGGGAAAGATGCCCCCTGCCCTGATGGGGAAAGACGCCCCCCTATTTCCGTACGCTGTCCTTCAAGCAACCCGTCGAATCATTATTACATACTTGTGCTGAGAGACTAAAGCCGATCTGGGACTATTGAGAGTCCAATACGGTCAGGAGCTCGCCATGTCGGTCTCTTAGCCCATACGCCGACTTTTTGGGCGGCCACTGACTCTGAGAGCCCTCACGACAGCTTCTGTGGGCCCCATTATTGGCTCCAAGACCCCTCACGACATCCTTTGAGGGCTCCCACGCTGGCTCCACGGGCCGCGCTAGCATCTGAGGTCCCCACGATGGGCTTGAGGGCCCTCAAGCATCATAAGGGCCCTACGACGGTCTCCGAAGGCCACCACGGAGGCTCGTTTGGCCGCGCTGGACATGATGGCCCTCACGATGACCTCTGAAGCCCCTCACGACGACTTTTTAGGGCCCTTATGATAGCGTTTAGTGTCTTCCGCAGGCCCGAAGGGACTACTGATTCCTTCAGGCAATTCACGTGCCCATTTATGTCACTTATAGTGCAGGGGGCATCTTACCCAACGCCAGGGGGCATCTTTCCCACCCTCTGGGGTAAGATGCCCCCTTTCACTTCTTTAGGAAAATGCTTAATAGCAAAAAAGTTATCATATTTCAGGCACGAAAGTGTAATATTTTTTGGAGAAAAATGATGTCGGCTTCCGTTGAAACTCCAAGTTTTTGCTTTCCGATTGTCATTTTCGAATAATATATGACATTGCAAAACCCTGGGCATCTTTCCCCACTCTCCCCTATGTAACTACATAATAACACTAGCACTACATAGCATGTACCAGGCTATCCTAGTCTTATAACTCCAGAAAGTGTAGAACATATCGGTATCAAGAACCTCATGCACCCTAAACGAGGTCGGCTACTCCGGTGCAGGTAGTAAAGGCCTGACTACACTATGCGTTTTCTGTGTGTTGTTATGCGTGTTCATGCACTTTGCGTTTTTAGGCTTTGTTTTTTTTTTTGCCTAATATCGTTCTAGAAAGAAGTTATAAATAATATGATTTTTACACTAGTTGTGCATTAGTTATAGGCATACAAAAGTTAATATAAAATTTAATATAAAAAGCATCACAAAAACGTTATATCGTTTCTTTCTCTAAAACGATATTACGCAAAAGACGCAAACCCGCAAAAAACGCACGCAGAAATGCAAGGTGTAGCCAGGCCTTAATTCGCATCGATCGTTGCATAGATCAGCTAGTAAGCGACAATACACAACAACGTAGCACACCAAAACCTATCCTATCTACATATATCATCTCGCTAATAGGATGAAATATTAGAAGCATCAAGCTTCAAATATGTTGCTCAAAAACTCTGACAAGTTTTTTTTGGAAGATGGAGAAGTTTCGCAGAAGTTAGACGCAACTGCCGATTATTCCAATAGCTCTGTGTGGTAACTATGTACGAGAAGGGGATAGAATGCTGATCTATGCCGCTTTGCTCTCGTACACTGCCGAAGGTGGAGAGCAGTCAGCTCTGACCCCGGTCGGGTCGGTCGGGATCAGTCACGCCCGGGCGTCTGACGCCGCTCCACGGTCAGCCGGAAGTCTCGCGGCCTCATGATCAGGTTCGGCTCCGGATGGTCCAGTCCGCCACCCTGTCCGGGGCTCAGCCGCATCGTGAACCGCTGCAGCAAGCCGGCCGTGAACAGAAACACCGACTGGCGCGCGTGCGCCTCGCCAATGCAGTGGCGCTGGCCCAGGCCAAACGCCAGCACCCGCTTCCGCAGGCGCGACGCGTCCGGCACGAGGAACCGCTCGGGCCGGAAGGTCTCCGGGTCGCCCCAGAACTCCGGGTCGTGGGTGACGCTGCGCCAGTCAAACATGACGCGGCAGTCGGCCGGGATGTGGTAGCCGCCCAGCTGGGTGGCTCCCAGCGTCGTGTTGTGCTGCGTCACAGGCACCGGCTGCGCGAACCGGAGCACCTCCTCCAGCACGGCCCCCAGGTACGTCATGGCCGGCATGTCGTCGATGGCGGGCCGGCGCTCGGGGCCGATGACGCGGTCCACCTCCTCGGCGGCGCGCTCCTGGACGTCGCGGTGCATCGCCAGCAGCAGCAGCACCCACTCCATCTCCGTGTTGGTCGTCTCCATGCCGGCAATGAAGAGGTCCTTCAGCAACACCAGGAGGTTCTCCTCACAGTAGAGGTCGCCCTTGCTGTCCAGTCGCTGCTGGCGGACAAACGCCTCCAGCAGGTGAAGCGGCGGCGCGTCACCGACCTGGTCGTCCGGCGCGGCCTTCTGCCGGTCCACCATCGGGCGGAACTGGTCGACCAGCTCCCGCACGTCCTGCCGGAACTGGCGGTAGCCCGAGAGCTCCGGTGCCACGTAGCTCAGCCAGGGAAACAGCTCCAGGTGGATGAACGACGGACTCAGCGTGTTCATGTTGCGGTCGACCACCTGGATGAGGTGCTGGAGCTGGCCGTCGCGGGCCAGTTTTTGGCCCAGTACCAGCTGCATCAGCGAGTTGGTCGCCGCCAGCGTAAAGAGATGTCGCGCGTTCACCTCTCTACCCTCGTCAGCGGCCGCCTCCATCTGCTGCAGCACGTCCGCCAGCTCGTCGTTAAGGTTATCGGTGCGCTGCTTTCGCCCGAAGCCCTGGCCGTGGAGGGTGCGCACGGTGAAGCGGCGCATCTCGTGCCACGTCTCGCCGTCTGTGAAGATCAGTCCGCGGCGCCGGAACAGGCCGTGCTCCCGGAACGTTAGCGGAGAGCCGACCCCGGTCAGCGCCCGGCTGCTGCTGGCCTCCTGCGGACAGGGGGCGCGTCAGGTGACAGAGAGGGGCGCCGTGACAGGTGACAGAGAGGGCCGGGTCAGAGGACAGAGAGGGCCGAGTCAGACGACAGGGAAGGCTGTGCCAGACGACAGAGAGGGCTGTGGGCTGCTGCTGGCCTCCTGCGGACCGGGGGCGCGTCAGGTGACAGAGAGGACCGTGACAGGTGACAGAGATAGAGATGTCAATCGGATACCAACTTTTTGGTATACCGATATCAAACCGATACCAACTTGGTATTTGGTATTTCAATCGTAATGTGTTTGGTATTTTGTTGGTATCATAAGCCCTCACTAATGTATTATATAATACTGAACGAGGCCGGTGTAATTAAATTTTCAAGACCGAGGTCCTTACTGGATTTTTGAACGAGGCCGAAGGCCGAGTTCAAAAATCAGTAAGGACTGAGGTCTTGAAAATTTATCACCGGCCGAGTTTGGTATGTATTTTACTGTATGCCAACGATAAATTTATTTTCTGGACCGAAGCTCTTAGCCGACATAGGAACGAGACCATCCCAAAATGTTGGCTTAATGCATTCTGGTAATGCATTTTTGACCGTGGTCAATTTGCTTACACCAGTTATTACCACACCCCTCTGGCTAATGTATTTGAATAGGCCAGGCATACAGTAAAAGAGGCTAATAAATCGGTAAAAAGTTGGTATTTCCCTCAGTTTCCCAAGTTGGTTTAGTTTCGGTATTTTCCCGTGGTTTTGGTTGGTATTTGGTTTGGTATCGGTATTCCGATTTTCCGTAATTGACATCACTAGACAGAGAGGGCCGTGTCAGGTGACAGAGAGGGGCGCCGTGACAGGTGACAGAGAGGACTGGGACAGACGACAGAGGGCCGTGATAGACGACAGAGAGGACTGTGACAGACGACAGAGAGGGCTGTGTCAGATGACATAGAGGGCTGTGTCAGACGACAGAGAGGGCTGTGTCAGATGACAGAGAGGGCTGTGTCAGATGACAGAGAGGGCCGTGACAGGTGACAGAGAGAGCCGTGACTGGCGACAGAGAGGAACGTGATAGACGACAGAGAGGACTGTGTAAGATGACAGAGAGGGCCGGGTCAGACGACAGAGAGGGCCGTGTCAGACGTTAGAGAGGGCCGTGTCAGACGACAGAGAGGGACGCGTCAGATGACAGAGAGGGCCGTATCAGGTAAGTGATAGGGCTGTGATATTTGACAGGGAGGGGACAGGTCACACGGCTGAGAAAGATGTGCCAGATGACAGGAAAGGGTGTGTAAGACTAGGAGAGCCGTGTCAAATGACAGGGAGGGTGTGATATGACAAAGAGGGTTGTGCCAGACTAAGAGAGCAGTATCACGTGACTAGGGTTGTGTCAGATGACATGGAGGGTCGTGTTGGATTCACATCGGCAGGTTCAGATTTGCAGATTCGCATTAAACGGTATACTTTGGCATTACATAGGAGATAGTTGCAAATTGCATAACGAAGGCATATCCCAGTTACCCAGTATATCCAATGTGATATATTGCACCATTCCAGTGATGGTCCAGTCACAGCCAAGTATTCGGAATGCTTACACTGATGAGGTCGTAGCCGCGAACAATAACGAGCGGCTGGTCCATAAATATTTTGAAGAAGATGAGGTTGCCGTACTGGTCGCCCCATTTCTTAAACTCTTCGTACGCTAGGGTGTTTACTATCCTTCCCTGCTGCAGACTTCCCAGAAATGGGATGCTGAAGGGGCCTGTAAAACGATCAGCCATCTTAGTGTGTTTTATGGCGTTCACACAGACAACTGGCGTAACAGCCATCACTCCAGATTAAAAATTCAGAGAGAGAGAGAGAGAGAGAGAGAGAGAGAGAGAGAGAGAGAGAGAGAGAGAGAGAGAGAGAGAGAGAGAGAGAGAGAGAGAGAGAGAGAGAGAGAGAGAGAGAGAGAGAGCGAGAGCGAGAGCGAGAGCGAGAGCGAGAGCGAGAGCGAGAGCGAGAGCGAGAGCGAGAGCGAGAGCGAGAGCGAGAGCGAGAGCGAGAGCGAGAGCGAGAGCGAGAGCGAGAGCGAGAGCGAGAGCGAGAGCGAGAGCGAGAGCGAGAGCGAGAGCGAGAGCGAGAGCGAGAGCGAGAGCGAGAGCGAGAGCGAGAGCGAGAGCGAGAGCGAGAGCGAGAGCGAGAGCGACAGACAGACAGACAGACAGACAGACAGACAGACAGACAGACAGACAGACAGACAGACAGACAGACAGACAGACAGACAGACAGACAGACAGACAGACAGACAGACAGACAGACAGACAGACAGACAGACAGACAGACAGACAGACAGACAGACAGACAGACAGACAGACAGACAGACAGACAGACAGACAGACAGACAGACAGACAGACAGACAGACAGACAGACAGACAGACAGACAGACAGACAGACAGACAGACAGACGGACAGACAGACGGACAGACAGACAGACAGACAGACAGACAGACGGACACTTCAGTGAATGGGCATTTTCCCCTGTGTGAATTTCCTCTCACCGGGCGGGTAGTTTTTCCATCTCTCGGTGAAGATGCGGACGCCGACCACCACCGCCAGCACCATCAGCACTAGCACCAGCACCAGCATGGTCACCACCGTCTCCCACTGGTGCCGTCCGACACCAGCCGATTGCGGCACCGCTCTGCCGGCACCCTCGATCGGCACCACTCCACCGCCCGGGCCGATTTTACACCCACTCTCTTCCTTTCACACGCACTGAGCCGTCTGATGCGGCCCGTCCCAGGCCCGTTTTTGGTGGGCTGGGAACTGTTTACGGTGACCTTCGGCCACGTTCGGAATAGACGGATGGAAAACCAAGGTTACCTCGAGGTCAGCGACCGTAGAGGCGCGCCCAAGTGGCTCAGAAGCGAACATCTGTCAAAGGAAGCCGGAATTGGAGATTCTTATAGGACAACATGTGTGATTGGTAATCCGTTAAGAAATTGAGAACTAGATAACTACTGGATAACTAAACCAGGATGTGCACTGTGCAGTAGGTACGGTACTTCAAGCTGAATGTGTTTTGGTATTTTGTATTTTTAATGATTCGTCATTAGTGAGATAGATTCGTCACCTATATAGCCCGCGCCCCGTAGGGGGGGGGCCGAAACGGCCCCCCCTGTCCTTTTCGGTCGATATCTCCTAAACGGCTGGAGATATCGCCACCAAACTTTCAGGACCCCTCCGGGCATCAATTTTACACATTGTGACCAAAAATTTTTCCAGAGGCTATGATAGGTTGGCCACAAATGACGTCAGAGTGACGTCATGTTCTGTCATTTTCGACCGAAAAAAGACCTTCGCGAGAACACCTGTCAGGACTACAGCTTTGAAGATACAGAAAAATGATCAAAACATAAAAGGTGTAGAATTGACAGGGCTACAAAACTGCTTATCTCGAATTTTTGAAATTTTTGAGTTTTGACCCCCAAAAATCAAAAAAACATTTTTTTGGATATATTCGCCAAAAAATCCAAAAAGTTTTTTGAGTTTCGAAAAAACCGGAATATATGTGATAGTGCCTACCGTCTTCTATCTACATACCAAATTTCAGATCGATACCTCGTTTTTTGGCCAAGTTATAGCGAAAAAAGTGTTCAAAAATGATGACGTCAAATTTTCAAACTCAATTTTTGGCAATTCTAGAACTCGTAGAGCAAAACGAAGACCACCATTAGACTCCCCGTGACGAGCTGCATCGAATCGATACCCATTTTATGCAAAAATATCAACTTTGAAATTTGACCTAATTTGACCTGACCTTGACCTGACCTTCACAAAAAAGTGACCTAGGCTGGCCCCAAAGGCTGCCTAACCCACATAATCGCATTTGTCATGTAAAATGGACCATAAAACATGTATCACACGACACATTCATATTGTGACCCCCGGTGACCTGACCTCGCTGTGACCTGACCTGGTATCAGTGACCTCAGATAGCAAAGTATGTGTTTGACGAACAATGTACCATCGATGGTTTTCAATAAATTACCAATTTACTCGCTTTCACAGCACATTTCTTGGATTGCCTGTGAACGGTGAAAATCTGACCTTTGACCTGACCTGTGACGTCATCGGTTTGACCTAGGTCAATGAAATTTGGTCACAAGGTAGTTCCCGGGTGGGGCTATCGAACGCCGTTTGAATTTTGAAAATCGGCCGGTAACTTTCCGAGATCTTAGGGGGGGGCCGAAACGGCCCCCCCCCCTACGGGTGGTAGGGTCCGCCGGTAGCCCTACGGGGCGCGGGCTATCTCACTCCAGGTTAAGGTCAAGGTCAAGGTCAGGTCAGGTCAGGTCACCAAATACAAAATATAGAAAAGGACATGTGCGACACATTTTTTATGGGTCATTTTATTCATAGAATTCAATAGGCACACTCAATAAGTGATATGGACCACCTCTGGATGAATTTCAGGTCGAGGTCAGGTCAAGGTCAGGTCAAGTGAAGTCAAATTTTGAAGTTGGTTGTTAAGGCCTAAAAAGGTGTCCATCTGATGCAGTTTTCCACGGCGAATCGAATGGTACTACTTTTGTTTTTGTATCGAGGTCTACAACTTCAAAAAATCATTTTTTTTTAATTGTGTGTCGTGACTAGACTAGAGATGTCAATCGGATACCAACTTTTTTGTATACCGATACCAAACCGATACCAACTTGGTATTTGGTATTTCAATCGTAATGTGTTTGGTATTTTGTTGGTATCATGAACCCTCACTAATGTGTAAGAGGCTAAGAAATCGGTAAAAAGTTGGTATATTTCCCTCATTTTCCCAAGTTGGTTTGGTTTCGGTAATTTCCCATGGTTTTGATTGGTATTTGGTTTGGTATCGGTATTCCGATTTTCCGTAATTGACACCACTAGTCGTGACGTCATAGAATTTTAAATAACTCTAACATTTTTGAACAGATTCTTCTGAAAATTGGTATGTAGGTGCACATAAACTACTTCTCTGATATACATTCCGGTTTATCCGATATACTTTCTTAAAATTTTGGATTTTATAATTATTTTCCCAAAAATGACAGTTTTTTTATTTGGGCCAAAATCCAAAATTTACAAGAAACCGAGATACCTAGCCATTTGATAGACAAGATAGAATCGCGTATAACCTTTTTGTAACGTCTTGCTTCCTTTAAAAATGTAGATGTTAGCGGCTTTTGAAATTTTGCCGGTTTTGAGGCAAAATTGGCGAACATGACGTCACTAAATCATCATTTTCTCAAAAATTTTCCGACGGATTCCGCTCAAATTTTCAGGGTACGTGTCAAATTTATGTATGATAAGGCACTGAAAGTTTCACGTCGCTGGCGTAACGTGTTTAGAAGTTATTGGCGAACAACGGGAGGGGGGCAGATTCTGCCCCCCCCCCAGCGGGGCGCGGGTTAACCCGCGAGTTGCTGGGGGGGGGGCGTTAAACGCCCCCACTTTTTTTCGCCGGGCCATAGCATAAAAACGGCGCGCCGCAGGCGCGCCAAATTTTAGGTACCTGTAGGGAATTGATTGAAGTTTATTGTGACAGAGTTTCAAAAAAATCGGTCGGAAAATTTTTGAGATATCGAAGTTTTAGTGACGTCATGATTTCTGAGTTTTCGACCAAAAACGGCATATGTTCAAAAATCATATAAAATCACAGAACAGACATACAGACATGCCGTTAACGCCATTAGACTGCCAATACCATGATCAATCAAATGGCTATCTTCGATTATTGATTACCTTTCCGCATTTTCCATAATCTTGAACTGAATCTTGGCAATTTTTCGTGACTACTTCACGACCATGATACATGAATTTCTTAAATTGAAGTTTTTGAGCCAAACACGTACACATATGATAAAATGAATGTCACCATCGTGTTCTACGCCCCAAATTACCTATAAAACATGTGTCACAGGCTGCGAATATCAGTTTTGATTTTCGGGGATATGTGCCTATCCGGTTGACCTGACCTTGACCCTGACCTATGCTTGACTGACCCCTACATGGAGCTGACACTCTTGTAGGCCTTATAAGATGGATTGTGCACCGTTTTCACAGAGTTTATGGCGAGAGGCGCCCATTGCGAAGTCCTGAAGTCCATGCTACTGAAAGCCCGATTTCAGGTGTTTGACCTGACCTTGACCCGACCTGTGACCTCAAAATTCAACTTAAAAGTACTCATCTGAATCGTCTCGTCGCGCTCTTTCGTTTGCCGCCTCGTGCGTTTCGCTGCGCCTATTGGTTCTCGAGTTATCGGCTGGGGGCGTTTAACGCCCCCCCCCCAGCAAACGGTGGTTGGCGAAATACCCCAGCAACTGCCGGGTTAATACCTATCTTATGCAGGCAGTGAGTGCGGCATCCCCATCAACATACGCACTGTGCACTAGTGATCTACGAGTGCCTTTCCTGCGATCGCCTCGCATATTTTCCACATCATCAACGTCTGCATCACTGGATTTCAGTTCCGGCATCATGGAAGGGAAGCCATTACCGACTCACCATCTTCGTTGTTCGAGCACATCAGGTAAACGAGAGAGGTGACGCATCGCATTACGGGTAGGCCGGTCGATGGCCACACAGCAGGTGCTGTGTGTATGTGTGTGTGTGTGTGGGGGGGGGGGGGTGCGTCCGTGTGTACACAGCTGGACCGTACCCCGCCACTGTGTGTCAGCGGCAGAGCATGATCCGTCACAGAGCGGGATCCACCTCTCAGCGGGATCCGCAGCAGAGCGGTATCCGCCTCAGAGCGGGATCCGCCGCAGAGCAGGATCCGTCACAGAGCGGGATCCACCGCAGAGCGGGATTCGCGGCAATGCAGGATCCGCAGCAGAGCCGAATCCGCCGCAGAGCGGAATCCACGGCCGAGGCGGGATCCGCCGCAGAGCGGGATCCACCTCTCAGCGGGATCCGCAGCAGTCAGGTCATGTCAGCCAGTAGGGCTCCTGCCGGGTACTCGTAGTAGGTTCAACCGCCTCTAACAGCTTCGAAACATGTTTATACGAAGGCACCAAAACTACTTCGTAAATGTTCAAATGGCTGCTCAATTCGAATTCAGCTCCAAAAACTAGCCTTCTCATGTAAAAGTCAAAATGAACCTAGGTTATCAAAGGTCAAAGACCTGACCTGACCTTCACGAGTCTTTGACACCCACCCTAATGCATGGGACCAACATCATGTTTGTTTGAACGCTTGAAACCACGAAAAGACTGCAAACGCGCGGCTATTGCGAGCCGACATACGCCAAATCACGGTTCCGGCCAAACATGGTCGTTTATACATACACTGTATTTACACTATTTGTTTGCTGTACCTTCACGAGCCGTGCATTTATAACACAACGACACATGAGATAGAAAGCAGGAGAGCACAGCCTCCCAACATGATCGGGCTTCAATAACTGCCCCGTTTAAGAAGAGATCAATATACCTACATGCACGAAGACGAAGAAACTAAAGAAGCCAGTTGCAGTCCAGTCTGCGGCACGGAAACATATCTGTTGAGGAGCTGTGACGACTTCACCGTGCTCACTTCTGCAGCCTGTGAGTCCCATTGTTTGACAGATCACATCGAGCTCAACACATGCGCATGACTGGGGGGTTTCAGAGTCCCCTCCCGTTTTTCTGTAATATCATCGACACCACTTATTGTATCAACACGAAACTTAGTACTTCTAGCTGTAATAATTTGACACCTTGTGTCAAAATTACAGTTTCGTAGCTAAAATAGGTCGCCTGGAAATGACGTCAGAGTGACGTCATGTCGGC